ACTGGGTGCAGGAAGACAAAGATCTAGAAGGCCTCCTATTAGATGTTCTTTATGACTAAATTTTTTTTAATTTTGGCCTGATGTTGCTTCAGGTATAAACTTTACAAAGTATTTTATTTAAAGTTAAAGAGCTGCTACAATTCTAGAAATAAACTATTTGTAATTTATTTACATCAAAGCCATTGCATGCTTGTAATAATGTATTGTCCACCTACCTAACATCTTTACCAACTGTCATACTAGCAATCACTTTCTTCACAGCTTCTTTCTTCCTGTCTTTTTTATCACTATTAAGCTCTGCTTTCAGTTCAAATATCTCACCTTTTTTGGTGGTAGTGAAATATTTAGAGTCCGTCATCCTCGGTTCCAATCAATTACGCTACAAAAAATATACAGTAATAAAAAACATTTATATCAATGTTATTAAAAATGTCTTTTGCATTAACGCAATACCTACTGAAAGCCTCCACGATATGAATTGTACATGTATATAACGAAATCAGCAGGAGATTATCATGGGTTGAAGTTCCTCACGCAGAGATGGGTGTTGCCACTAGCACTAAGTAGCAGTGTTTTTTTTTTAAATTGTGCACTCTTGAACTCAACGTGAGAGACGTTGTGCATTTATTAAAAACTCTTGAACATTATCAGAATTGAGAGTGATAATTAGCTTTTATTGATTTTGTGCATTACTTTCGAAATGACATGCACCTTTACTGCATTAAAGGCAAGTCCCAAATTTATCATTCACAATTTACTGCATTTCAACAATACGGTGATTTGGTTAGTTTTTGTTTCTTGTTCCAGCATTTTTGTTACTCTGCTCGGAATATACATTTCTATCAAATTCATGCATTTGATGCAGTAAAAATGGATGAACGGTGGTAGATGATGATGAATAATCGACGTGAACCACTCGACGCACCGGAAGTAGATAAAGAATACCCTTATAACACGATTTTCCACGATTTAATAAAAAATCGGTAGACCTAATATTACATTTTGTTCAATCGGGGTTTATCTTGTGAAATCATATACATATTATGGAAGCGTGATTTCATTTCATGAACGCTTCGAACTGAACTGAACGTGCAACTACATTGATAATTTTACGTGGCTAGAGGGCGGTTCCGGGAACAGCACAACTCCAGCACTAAAACCCGGTAGGTAGCGTAGCGTTGAGTTCAATGTCGTTTGTTGACATTTTCCCCGTGATTCGTGGAGTACAACCTTTCAAATAACACGGATACAAAAATATCACATTTTTTTGCATAATCTAAACTAACCTGCAAGCTCGTTTCAAGGTCGATGTTGTTTGATGAAAATATGAAGGCAAAACGAATACAGTAATTGTTCAAGATGGCGACGCCCGGCTACGTTCGAGCTCGGCACCGATACCCACAATGCTTTGAATGACCTTTGAACCCGTGCTAGCAAAAAAAGTAAATAACGTGTGAAAAAGCCACTCTCAGTCAAAACATATCTTGAATGGTTAAATTATGATATGATTATTGAATTCGGAACATTCTAAGGATTGATTCAACCAACAGGTAATTTCACAAGTCAACAATTAATTGTAAACAGTAATCACTATTCAACATGTGTTTGTCAATATCTAACTTTTACATGTAAGTTGTAACAAAGATTAAATACAAAAGATATGTTTGATCTCTGACCACTAATAATTTATTAGTGGTCTGTGGTTTGATAGAAATATATTCAAAATTGTTCAACAACACACAACACTAACTAGAATTAGTACAGCAGTATATGGTCTCAAGAATAACAATTATAAATGATCTTCTTGTAAGTTTCCTAGAGTTAGTTACAATTAAGTGTACTGGTAATTAACCACTTTGAGATGAATCTTGTCAATGTACTTTTTCTCTTTTGCTGTAATTTAGTCTCACTTTAATCAGCACAACATTATTTATTCAATGGTGTTTGGTTGCAGTGTTACTTTTTGCTCTTGCCCAGAATAAAAAATATCATCAGAGTTGTAGAAAGTACACTTCTAACAGCAATATTAAAATTTTTTTTTATTCACATCCAAGGGAATTTCCACAAAATTATAGATGAATTTGTTCATAATTGTCCAGTGAGCAAATTAAGGCACATCAAAATGCTTTATCTCATGAATATGGAATGAAGTATGTACAGCTGTGAATATTTAAACTTTTAATATTCATGTTGACAATTTTCCTCTTCATTTTAGATTTAGCATCATAATCTATCGGATTATCATGGCTGAGTTTGGAGCTCACTTGACTTCGGCCACTGCGGACGAAGACAAGCCCACAATATTTGAAGT